TCAAAATTATTGCCTTCTCCATTCGCAATAATGCCTCCTTAATGCAGAACTAAAACGTTGTACCATAATTAAGTAAAAAAAATGAAACTATAATATTATAATGTTATTTTATATTAAGACCACTGACAACCCAGTGGGAAAATGGTTGCATGTAATTATGACTTTTTATTTCTAAGTTACGTAGTCGTACATTTATTGTGAATGATTAATAACCACACCCCTATATTCTTGCCAAATTCGATATAGAATGTTTCATAAGAAAACGTTGCTAAGCGATCAATGGCGGTACGTGTAAAGACAATTTTTTAGGCCAGCTCTGCCCACGGCCTGCTTGCGTAATTGGAATGTAAATAGATAAGTAGGTAATTGGATTATGCGTAGTCTGTTACATTCCATTACATACGAAAAGTAAACAGTTTTGTTTGGCTAAAATTCTAAAGCAATCGGTCAATAAATTGAATAAGTAATACTTTCACGTACATTTCGAAGATTTCGACTTGATATCTCGCCATTTTTTCCAACAATATTCATTTGAATAACATCGGAAAATCGCATTTGAAAAATGGTTGTCAAAAGGTTATGTTTTAATTATAGATGTATGAACAGTCTATGGTTCCATAGTGCTGTACGGAAAATAACATTCGGTTCATTCAATTCAAGTTTCTGTAATCGATTAGTAAATCGAAAACTTCGTTTCAACTCATTTTAAACAAACAAGTCACTGACCCGACCATAGACGGTTTAGTGATGGCCAATTGTAATGCCAACTGCAAATCGATTAATTAATTGAATGAATCGATTTGTTCACTTGAGTCATACTAGCGGTTTTCCTTACATAACATATTTCAAATTTCCGAATTCTTAATTTCAAATCCTTCTTCAAATCCTTACACTTATACTCGTTCTATTGCGATTGAAATATTCGATTTACTAATGGATTACAAAACTTTATTTGACTGAACCGAATGATTTTTCCTACAGCACTATGCAATCATAGACAAGTCATAGACAACTATATACTATAGTAGTTAAAAAATAACCTCAGTTTTGGACTACCATTTTTTAAATACGATTTTATGACGCTGTTCAAATGAATATTGTTGGAAAAAGTGGAGTGTGGAGTATCGAAATATACGTAAAGGTGTTGTTTATTCGATTTATTGAGTGATTGCTTTAGAATTTTAACCAAACACTTGTTTACTTTTTGTTCAAAATGTATTGGAACAGACTTTACGTGGAATTAGGCATGGAATTTGGAATTTTACAAGCTAACCTGCACGTCGAAGAAGGTTCAATGCTTTGAAAAAAGTGTCAAACCCTGAACCCGAATGGAGCCAAGGTTTCGGACTATGGCCTACACTGTCTCCTTAGATCCGTGCCCAGGGGGTCTACTCTCGATCTCCGTCCGAAACAATTACTGTCAAATGAGTAATAATATCCAAATCCAGCTCGGATGGGCAGCGTTCGGGAAACTCCAAAAAATCTTTGCGTCCAAATTACCTCAATGTCTCAAGACGAAAGTCTTTGACCAGTGTGTGTTGCCAGTGATCACATATGGATCAGAAACGTGGTCCCTCACTATGGGCCTCATAAGAAGGCTCAAGGTCACTCAGCGGGCAATGGAGAGAGCGACGCTCGGTATTTCCCTGCGTGATAGAATCAGAAATGAGGAAATCCGTAGGAGAACTAAGGTAACCGACATAGCTCGAAGAATTGCTCAGCTGAAGTGGCAGTGGGCTGGGCACATAGCTAGGAGAACCGATGGCCGTTGTGGCGGAAAGGTTCTTCAATGGCGACCGCGCACTGGACGACGCTCAGTGGGTAGGCCCCCCACCAGGTGGACCGACGATCTAGTGGAGGTCGCGGGAAGCCGATGGATGCGGGCAGCGCAGGACCGATCGTCGTGGAGATCGTTGGGGGAGGCCTATGCCCAGCAGTGGGCGTCGTATGGCTGAATGATGAGTAATATTCGACAAAATTAAAAGACAAGTATCAAGTATGAAGCTTCATTCGTATCACGCGTATTTTCATTTGGTCAAGTATTGTTTATTTGGCAGTAATTGTTTCGGACGGAGATCGTGAGTAGACCCCCTGAACTAAGACGTAATATTCTTATTTTAATGTTGTTGCAGAGATACGTGTCAGAAGCAATCTGATGCCCACCAATAATGAAACAATTACCTTAGACAGCGACGACGAGCCAGATTTAGGTATAACAAGTTTTTATTTGCAATGTTTATGACTTGTCGACTTACGTAATTAATTTTATGTTAATAAAAATGGAAGTAAATTAATTTGCTATTCCGCGAAACCAGTAAAGGTTAAATCGTGCAAAATAGATGCGCTTGTGTTCAATATTTTATGCCTATTATATGCCTCTCCACGAGGCATCATCAGGGGCTGTTGACAGGGAGTGTCGGGCACGACACTCGGCCGATCTTCGACCGTAATATTTTATTGAATATCATGATTTTTTTTTATAATATCAAGGGACGGGACGAACTATTCGTTCGCCTGATTGTTAGCTACACCCCTTTAAATCGATCGAGCTTTAAATAGGTAATGTGACAATACTTCCCTAGACAAACTCTTTCGCAAGAGCTCTACTGCTACTGATTTTTTTTTTATGAAACTACTGTAGTTTTGTGTTCTGTAGCTCAGATGGGAAAGCTCTAGCCCCGGTCCAGTAAACGTCGCTGGTTCGAATCCAGCCGGATTGACGGATTTTTTCTTTCTGTTCCATCTTACCAATGATATCATCATAGTAGCTTCTTGTGCAAGAGTTCGCCCAGGGACCCTCGACTACCCCACCACTACTACCACTTTACTTTTCCTGAGCCAAGCATTGATATAAGCATTACTGCGTTCTGGTTTTTAAAGGACATGTGAATTGTTAACATATATCAACTAGACTAAAAACCCTTTAGTTAACTAATTTGTTATAACAAGATTATTTATTCACTGTTGACTCGATCATAAATCATCGGAGATGGATAACGATATTGCGCGCTCTCTCTCTCACCTGCTTAGTGACGTACACACGTGACGCATGCCCGTTATCGATAAAAACAGGTGCGGTAACTTTTTTATAAATATCATTTTTTCAAACATGCTCGGAAATGTTTGCATTACTTTCTAAAAACGAACACGGAAAGTTTGTCATTTATGGACCATGCGACGTCTTTCTGGCCAAGACCTGCAAAGTAAGTATGACAATCCATTACTGTCAACTTCTGTAAACTTTTAAATCTACATACTAATAATGAACTATGTAAACAGGCTAAAGAAAAAATCGTACAGCCAACTGCCCAGTGTTCGTAGTTGCGAGAATTAAAAGGAAAAATGACTACACAATAATATACCGCTTGCATAAAAAAAAGAAAATGGCGGTAACTCTTAATGTTTTGGTATTCTTTTGTTTTTTCGTATATTTTGGTCGCGAAAATAAGTGTTAGTGTCAAATATTACTTTTAATATATATTTTTTTATTTTTTTTATTAAACATCTTCCTCTCTTTAGTCTTTTATTAATTACTCTTATTGTTTGAGAAAATTCAATACATGCCTCGGTGCGAAACGAGGATTGCTTGACTCGTATTAATACCACTAACTAACTCAACGTAACTCATACTCTCGTCCAGCAATACTTCCTCTCTCTCTCTCTCTCTCTCTCTCTCTCTCTCTCTCTCTCTCTCTC